CTCGAGGCGCACCCCTACTCGCTTGGCCTCGGCTTCTGCGGCGAGTCGCCGCCAGCCATCCACGCGTCGGTCCTGGCTGCGTTTGGCTCTGCCGCCGGGGCCCCGCCGCCGGCCACGCCGCCCCTGAGCGAGCTGTGGGAGGCGGGGGGCGCCACCCCGCCCCTGCACGAGCCGCCCATCGGCGCAGAGTTTGCAGCACTGGGCAACGGCGCCTGGTGAGCCCCGTCGCCGCACCTGTCAACTTCTCCGCTGCCGCCGCCGCTGCGGCCGCGGCGGCTGGACTCGGCACCTCTCCACGACTAAGTCCACGACTTGACTACATGGCTCGCACGGCCGCGGTTTTGTTCTTGACGATGCATCGGCCGACTCCTTCTTCGCGCCCTTCTGCTGAGGAGAGACGAGATGACGCTCTCCCCCACCCCCTGCAACCCCCTCACACTTCCGTCTCTCTTTTCTCACTGCATTCCACATCTCTTTTGCCTTTTGACATTTGAGTCCGCTTGTAGCATATTTGTGTGCTCTGTGCCTGTGGCTCGTATTAACAAGTGTGTATATGAAACTGTGGCTAAAAGCGTAAGCGACTCCTCTCGCTGGACGGTCGTACGACCCGTAAAACGTCTAGAGTACACGGACTACACGATACACGTGGCTCTACGCTCTCTACCTCCTGACTGAGCGTAGAGCTAGAGCGGGTGCGCGCAGCGAGCAGCGTCCTAATCTAACATCTGAGGCTTCAGGATCAGAGTCCCACTTGCAAAATCACCGGGAGAAATCCCACATTGGTGATTTTGGATGAGGACGGGTACGATACACTAGCCCCCGCAGTCGGGGGGGTGTTGCCAGCACTGGTAGATGACCTCTCGGAGAAGAGCCGAAGGGACCTTGGCACCGGGGTCACGAGGAACTTGCAAGTCGTGGCCGAGGCGGCGACGGGAGCGGTGCAGAGGTGGATACAGCTCAATGATGAAGCAACGGCGCGCATAATGAAGAGAGAGGAACACATCGAGTGGCTGAGGAAGCTCTTCGCTGGGTGGAAGGAGGCCCGCCCGGCCTTGAGGGAGTCGCGGAGGAGGAGGGATAACGGAGGCAACGTGCAGACAGGCCAGCAGCCAGTGGGACGAACGAGGACCGCGACGGCAGCTCAAGCGGGAGGGAGCGGAGACAGTGGGCAGCGAGCGAAGTGGGTGAGACTGATGATGCTCCTTCGACTTAGGGAGCGGTTCCGCTGCTGGGCGAGCTTCAGGGTGGTGCTCACGCGAAAAGGAATCGACGCAATGTACAAAGCATACAAGAAGAGGAGAAAAAAGAGGAGAGGCGCCAAAAAAGTGACGACGAAACAGAAGCTAGTGCAGACGAGGGCAGGTCAGGGTCGCAGGCGTCGTACCGAGCGCGTCGAGATCGTGTCCTGATGTGATCTGCACGGGTGAGTCAGACACGTCGGCGTCAAAGGAGCGACGTGCGACCTGTCAGAGCTTGATTTCCGATCTCAGCGGCGTCGACGACAATTTTGTACCTCCCCAGGACGCGCAGAGGCAGCTGCTATCCCGCCGAGTGGACGGTTGCACACCGCGCCACCTGCTGTGTGCAACCGTCTACTCGGCGGGGTCGCAGCTGCCTCTGGAAGGCACCGACGGAGAGGTACGAAATGGCGCAACTGGTCAGGTTTTGTAACGCGATCTGTGCCACAGTGAAATGGCACTACGGGGTGTGGAGGGTGAGTTGAACAGGGGTTGTGCGCCAAGCCCTCCTGCTCGGCTCCAGCCGGTAAACAAGTCTTGTCATCAACAGAGTAGATGGATCTGACCTCGGGGCCGATGTGACCAAGCGCTGGTAGCGTGGTTTTACCTCACACCCATGGTCTCACAGTGTGCCGGCAGTCGCCGAGCAGTGTCGCTCACACAAGCCGCAGCACAAGTGACTGAGGGCCAGTGAGGGCGAGCCCATCGCTGTCACAGCTGTGGCAGCCGCACAGTAGGCTGTGTCAGCTGTGCAGAGTGTGTGAGCAGCAGAGGAGCTGCTCTCCAGGCTTCTGTCGCAAAGAGCTGCATGCCACCGAAAGCGCTGTCGAGGTTCGCCGAGCGCGGCGCAGGTTGGAGGACACCGTCACCGACGAGCGCGTTGGAGTATTCACTCCGGACAAAGACGGGCACACAGCGGACGGTGCGGGGCGTGTGCCCGTCATAGCGGCGAGGCGCGGGACCGTCTGTGGCGAAGTGGGTCGCGTCCTCCGAATTTGTTCAACCCAGCATCCACACCCTTTAGCCAAATATGTGGCGAGATTTACAAGGGAGCACGAGACGCCGCGGTTGTTTTAAGGATCGAGGCGAAAAGATACACAAACAAACGTTATTCAGTGGTATACAGCCGTAAGCCAATATCTTGAACAGCTGCACCTCTCAACAGTTTCAGCCGATGTCGTCCGGCGTGCGCTCGCTCGGCTTGCGCGTGCGGCAATCCTCCCAGTAGCAAGGGCGCCTCATCGTGGTGTGCTTTGCGGCTGCTGCGGCGGCCGCTGCTCCGCCTCGCGCTGCAGCCCCCCGCGGGAGGGGCCACGGACGCTTGTACAAGATCGTCCCCGCCTGGTAGTGGACGGTGGTGCAACACCAGGTCGCCGAAAACCGCCTTGTGCCTGCAGCGACCAACGGGGGCTGGGCGCAGAGGGAGGGCGCTCGTCGGGCGGCTCGGGTGCTCTGGAGGGGCGCTGCCGCTCGCCTGGCACGACGTGCCGGGCGACTCGCTCGTCGAACTCCCTCCCTGCCTCCTCGCTCTCAAAGCCGCCGAAGACCGCGCCATCGTGCGCCGACTCCAGGTGCAGCAGCGCCGCGCCTATCCACAGCAGGAGGTGTGAAGAGACGCTGTTCACAGCGCCGACTCGAGGGGCAGCAGCGCAGCGCCCGACGCCCCAGCCGCCTCGAGCGCGGCCCGCCACTCCTTGTCCGTCATGCCGCGCCGGAGACGCAGCTCCGCGCCTGCACCTCCTCCGCCACCTCCGCCACCACCACCTCCTCCGCCGCCACCTCCGCCGCCACCTCCGCCGCCACCTCCGCCGCCGCTGCCGCCGCCGCTGCCGCGGCCGCTGCCGCCGCCGCTGCCGCCGCCGCCCTCCGCTTCGTCCGGCAGCCACTTGACGGTGGTGACGGCAGCGGGACGGTGCTGCTGCGGGTGGAAGGAGGCGTTGAGCAGAGTCCACGGCCGCACCTGCAGGTGGCAAGTCAGCCAGAGCTGCTCGAGATCGCCCGAGAGTACCCGAGAGTACCCGAGAGTACCCGAGAGTCCCCGAGAGGACCCGAGAGGACCCGAGAGGACCCGAGAGGACCCGAGAGGGCACGAGAGGACCCGAGAGGACCTGCAGGTAGCCGGTCAGCCAGAGCTGCTCGAGCTCCTCCACGTCGAGCAAGTTCTCGACCTAATCTCGGGCAATCTCGGCCTGATCTCGGGTAATCTCGAGCTCCTCCACGCCGCGCAAGTTGTCGACCGGGCACACAAACGGCAGCGGGGTCGATGCCCCCACCTTGACGCAACCGCGGGGTACTCTCGAGCAATCTCGGGCAATCTCCGCGACGCTGCTCCGCCCCCAACCTTGACGCAGCCGGGGAGGATGTCCCACGGCGCCTGCGCACGCTCGCACAGGCAGAGCCAGCGCGGCATGATGAGCTCGCGGCCTAGTACCACACCTCCAGAGGATCGAATCCAGTGTGGGTTCAGGTTCCGTGGGCGGTGTGGCACCGAGCGCGCGAGCGATGGCCATCGCGTTGCGGAGGCCTAGCACGAGAAAAAAGAAGCTCGGCCTCGGCACACACCGAACTCGACGGCGCGCCAGGCGCGTAGCGCAAGACGACGATGTGCTTGTCCGCGAGGGCGAGGTGCGGGGAGATATGGGGAGATATGGGGAGATATGGGGAGATACCGACGATGTGCTTGTCCGCGAGGGCGAGGTGCGGGGAGATATGGGGAGATATGGGGAGATATGGGGAGATATGGGGAGATACCGACGATGTGCTTGTCCGCGAGGGCGAGGTGCGGGGAGATATGGGGAGATATGGGGAGATATGGGGAGATACCGACGATGTGCTTGTCCGCGAGGGCGAGGTATGGGGAGATATGGGGAGATATGGGGAGATATGGGGAGATATGGGGAGATACCGACGATGTGCTTGTCCGCGAGGGCGAGGTGCGGGGAGATATGGGGAGATATGGGGAGATATGGGGAGATATGGGGAGATATGGGGAGATATGGGGAGATATGGGGAGATATGGGGAGATATGGGGAGATATGGGGAGATATGGGGAGATATGGGGAGATACCGACGATGTGCTTGTCCGCGAGGGCGAGGTGCGGGGAGATATGGGGAGATATGGGGAGATATGGGGAGATACCGACGATGTGCTTGTCCGCGAGGGCGAGGTGCGGGGAGATATGGGGAGATATGGGGAGATCTGGGGAGATACCGACGATGTGCTTGTCCGCGAGGGCGAGGTGCGGGGAGATATGGGGAGATATGGGGAGATATGGGGAGATATGGGGAGATACCGACGATGTGCTTGTCCGCGAGGGCGAGGTGCGGGGAGATATGGGGAGATATGGGGAGATATGGGGAGATACCGACGATGTGCTTGTCCGCGAGGGCGAGGTGCGGGGAGATATGGGGAGAGATATGGGGAGATATGGGGAGATATGGGGAGATACCGACGATGTGCTTGTCCGCGAGGGCGAGGTGCGGGGAGATATGGGGAGATATGGGGAGATATGGGGAGATATGGGGAGATACCGACGATGTGCTTGTCCGCGAGGGCGAGGTGCGGGGAGATATGGGGAGATACCGACGATGTGCTTGTCCGCGAGGGCGAGGTGCGGGGAGATATGGGGAGATATGGGGAGATATGGGGAGATACCGCGGATGTGCTTGTCCGCGAGGGCGAGGTGCGGGGAGATATGGGGAGATATGGGGAGATATGGGGAGATATGGGGAGATACCGACGATGTGCTTGTCCGCGAGGGCGAGGTGCGGGGAGATATGGGGAGATATGGGGAGATATGGGGAGATACCGACGATGTGCTTGTCCGCGAGGTCGAGGTGCGCGGCGAGGCGGGGCGTGTGCCGCAAGGCGGTGTCGACGTCCCACCCGTCCGTGGTGCGGCCCGGGATGTCGGCCTTTGGGCCGAGCGCCGGGTCGCGCGCCTGGGAGGGGGAGATATGGGGAGATATGGGGAGATATGGGGAGATATGGGGAGGTACGGGGAGAAACGGGGAGAAACGGGGATATACGGGGAGAGACGGGGGGAGAGACGGGGAGAGACGGGGAGATACGAGGAGATACGGGGAGATAGGGGGAGATACGGGGAGATAGGGGGAGATACGGGGAGATAGGGGAAGATACGGGGAGGCAGCTCGCCGGGAGGAGTGGGCCGGGCTCCGGCTGCGCGGGCGTGTAGCTGAGGTACCTAGTTCATTAGTAAAATAGTTAATTAATTAGTACCTCAGCTAATTAATTAATTAGGCGTGTAGCTGAGGTACCTCGCGCCGGCCGGCTCCGGGGCAAGCCTCCACAGCCCCGCCTCTCGCACACGCGCCGGAGATTAACCGAGATCAACCCGAGATCACCCGAGATCATCCGAGATCACCCGAAGTCACCCGAGATCACCCGAGATCACCCGAGGTCACCCGAGGTCACCCGAGATCACCCGAGATCACCCGAGATCACCCGAAGTCACCCGAGATCACCCGAGGTCACCCGAGGTCACCCGAGGTCACCCGAGGTCACCCGAGGTCACCCGAGGTCACCCGAGGTCACCCGAGGTCACCCGAGGTCACCCGAGGTCACCCGAGGTTCGCCTCTCGCATGCGCCAGAACTTGCCAGCCAGCCCGGCCTGCCCGGGGGGGGAGGGGGGGGGGGGGAGGCGACGCCGCCGTCGGTTGCGGCTGCTTGCAAGCGGAGCATGTGCCGCGCGCAGCGCGGGGCATGTGTCGCGTGCAGCGCGGGGCATGTGCGAGCATGTGCAGGCGGAGGCATGTGCTGGCATGTGCAGGCGGAGGCATGTGCTGGCATGTGCAGGCGGGGGCATGCGCAAGCGCGGCGCGGGCCGCCGCCTCCACAAAAGTGAGGTGCATAACGAGGCATTAATTGACTAGTTCATTAATGCGCTACTTCGTACCTCCACAAACGTGAGGTGCATCACGAGGCACGCGCGAGGCTCGACGGCCTACAGCCATTGGACTGCCCGAGATTCGCCGAGATTGCCCGAGATTGCCCGAGATTCGCCGAGATCCGGACGGCCTGCTGGATGTGAAAGACGTGCCCCGAGCAGATCACGCGCGCCGAGACCTAATCTCGGGCCATCTCGGGTCATCTCGGTGTGAGCTCGGCGTGCCCCGACCAGACCACACAAGTCCCAAGACCGGCCCGATCTTCCGCCGATGGCTGCCGTCGAAGACCACCCGCCCGCCGTCGCCGGCTGCGCGGAGCGGGTAGATAGGCTCGCCCTTGCCTTTGGTCGGCGAGCCCGCCACGATCTGGTTGAAGGTGAGCTGGTCGTCGACCTAATTAACTGGTTCGGTAATTAATTAGCTAGTTAGTTAATTAGTTGAAGGTGAGCTGGTCGTCGACCTACCACTTCCTAGACACTTCCTAGACATTTCCCAGACACTTCCTAGACACTTCCAGACACCTTCTAGACGTTTCCTAGAGAGCTGCGCACCGCCCCCGCGCAGCCATGGTCGCAGTCGTTCTCGCCCGGCTTCCCGGAGACGGAGGCCTACGGACATGTCTCGGACATGTCGTGGACACGTCCAGGACATGTCCCGGCGGCTTGCCGGAGACTGCGTGCCATGCGGTCGCGCCACTCGGAGGCTAAAGAGAGCGCCTCTGCCGTCGGCCGAAAGGCGAGCACTCCTGTGGGGGACGTGTCACGGACGTGTCTGGGACATGTCCAGGACATGTCCCGCGGTAGCCATAGGGCTAGGAGACGCCGGTGTTGAACCACGCGCTCCACAGCGAGCCCGGGTGGTGCCTAGAAGGTTCCTGGAAGGCTCCTAGAAAACTCCCAGAAGGCTCCGCAGCGAGCCCGGGTGGTGCCTAGAAGGTTCCTGGAAGGCTCCTAGAAAACTCCCAGAAGGCTCCGCAGCGAGCCCGGGTGGTGCCTAGAAGGTTCCTGGAAGGCTCCTAGAAAACTCCCAGAAGGCTCCGCAGCAAGCCCGGGTGGTGCCCGCAGCGCGGCACCACGCTCGAGCGGTCGGACCTAAAAAAGAAATCCGATGGCAAGCTGAAAAAAGAAACACAAGGGCCATCGCTCGAGCGGTCGGACCTAGAAGGTAAGGCTCGCAGAAGGTTCCCAGAAGGTTCCTAGAAAGCTCCTACCCTCGAGCGGTCGGACCGGTCGTCGTCCGCGGCCGTGTCAAGGCAGTCGGTGCCTGCGACATGCGGCGGCCGCGTGAGGGGGAGGAAGACATGCGGCCGCCGCGCGCCCGGCCTGCGTCGCTGCCTGCGAGGACGTCCGCCGTTGGCTGCAGCTCGAGCAGCGCCTGAGGCCGCGAGAGGCACGCGAAGTCCAATTAGTTAATTCACAAATTGAACAAGACCTGCGGCCGCGAGAGCCACGTCCAATGAATGAATGAATGAATGAGTTAATTAAGACCTGCGGCCGCGAGAGCCACGCGCAATCGACGTCCGACACGACCGCCGGCCGGCCAGCTCGCAGGAGCCACACAATGAGGTCCGCCTTGGTCACCCCATAGGCGCCTGCGCGGCGCGGCGCGAGCCGGCCGTCGGGAGCGGCGGGCGGCGGGCTCGGCGGCAATTTGGCGGCTGTCGCGCGCACGAAACATCGAGAACTTGAGCCGGAAGTTTGCGCTCACCTCGACCGGCGGCGCCTTGGACTGCGGTGGTGCCCGGCCGGTGTCGTTGGAGCCAAGCCCGACCCGCAGCGTCGGCAGCCTTCGCGCGAGGAGTCGCGTCGCCAGCGCGCCGTCCAGTGAGGCGACGAACATGTGGCCCGCCGTCGTCCCGCGCAGCAGCGGCCTCAGCAGCAGCGCCCAGTTCTCGGCGAGGTCGGCGTAGGCGGAGTTCGCGACGGTGAAGAAGGCGGGCTGGCCCACCGGGACGCGAGCCAGGATGTCGTCGCGGCTCAGCAGCCTTCCGTTGGCCTCCTCGAGCCCGGAAAGTCCCTCGCCAGGCCCAGAGGAGGCAGTGCGGCGCGGCAGTGCAGCGGCCGCCGCCTGCGCGAGCGCCTTCGCCTCCGCCGCCTCCGCCGCCTCCGCCCTCCGCGTGGCCGCTCGCGCCTCAGTGGCAGCTGTGGCCGCCTCTGCCCTTGCCGCCTCGAGCTGCCGCCGCAACGCACCCACCTCCTCGTCAGCCCGCTCGAGTTTGCCGCTGCGGATCCGCTCTGGGCCGCTGACGAGCCGCGAGCCGCTGTGCACCATCAGCAGACACGCGGCTACCGCAAAGCATGCGAGAAGGCGGATGGTGGTGGCAGGGGTCGCCATGGCGCCACGACCAATGCACGGGTCCGGTTGACGCGGCTGTTGACGCGGGGCGAGCAATCTGTCTTTGGACGCGCGAACTTGTGACAACGCTGGTCCCGCGAGGCTGGAGAAATCGCGTCCGTTTCGAGCTTCTCGAGGTGGATATCCTTTGGCCGCGTTGGGTAGCGAGGATTGGTGTAACCCGAGCCACGGAGGCGTGTTTTCTGGCGGCCGACCGTCAGTGCACGGAGTTGCCACTTCTCCGACTGCCCCGGCTAGTTCCCGAGGTCGTCGGGTGTAACCCCTTCGTCCCCCGAGACCTAGCGCGGGTGGGTTGGAGGGGGCTCGCCCCGTTCCTCGCCATCGGGCCGCGTGAGCGGCCTCGCCTCGCAGATTCGTTTTTCGCGCCTGGGTCAGGCGCGCGGGGCATCCCCCGGGTCGCTCGACCAGCGATCCGAAGAGTGGCCGCTATGCGAGGGAAAGAGGCACCTCCCAAAGGAAGCACCAGATGCTCCCTCAGCACACGCGGCTTTGCGCAGCGCAGCGCACGGGCCACGCCACGCAAAGCCGACACCCAGTCTGCCCGAGAGGCTGTCTGCGGAAGGCCTGGCAAGCGCGCGCCCGCCTCCTCCGCGGCCATGCCCTCCGCCCGGGCGAGCGAGCAACAAAGAGTGGAGGCGGATCGCCATACACGCGTTTCTTTGTCGTGCGAGAGAGTTTTATCGTAAATTCTTTTCTGCGTAGAAAAATTCTTTTCTTTCTCATGGCCGGCGTGTCCATCGACCTCACGCAGTCAGACAGTGAGGAGGAGCCAGCACGGCCACAACTGTCACCGCCACCCCCGCCGCCGCTACCGCCGCCACCGCCGCCGCCGCTACCACCGCCGCCGCCGCCGCTACCCGGCCCAGAGCCAACGGTGCGTGAAGTGCTTGGGCATGCGCTCCTCGGCCTCGAGCAATACGCGGACACCCTTATCGGCGAGGGCTTCGACGACGTCGGCTTCCTGCTGACCTTGACCTTTGAGCAGCTGAAGGAAGACGCCACCACGTACGGCCGGATGAAGCAGGGGCACGCCCACAAGTTTGCGAAGCATTTTCGAGAGGCGGCGGCAGCGGTGGCAGCCACGGCAGCCGTGGCAGCGACGTCGGCGGCGGCGGCATCGACGCCGGCAGCGGCGGCGGCATCGACATTGGCGGCGGCATCGACATCGTCAGCAACGGCGGCGGCGACGGCCGGATCGGGGCTAGCCACGCAGGAGGGGCGAGTAGCGGAAGGGGAGAAGTCGCCCATTCCCCCGCGGGAGGAGCAGCTCGACGCGATGCGCTCCTTCCACAACTTCTCTGGCTGGAACCAGATCTACCCTCACTTCAGGGACGGCGCGGTAAAGTGCTGGGAGCTGCAGCGCGTCTCGAGCGAGTTCGTGGCCTCGCGCCGAAGCAGCGGCGATGGGCCTTCCGACGGCGGCGGCCGGGCCAAAGGATGCCGCGGCTTCAAGACCTTTCCGCGGCTGAAGGACGCCGTCGTCGAGAGCGCCTTCCGCGAGGGCGTCTTTGACCGCGCGACTCAGGCCGAGGACGCGGCGGCGGCAGTTGGGCGCGACTTTGAATGCTTCGCCTTTCCAGAGGTGGGCGACGCCAAGGAGTCGTCGGCGATGCGTGAAGACGCGGCGTACCGGCGGCTGCGCGCCGCGATGCCCTCCCTGCCGTCGAGCAAGCAGTGGGGCGGGCAGGGCCGCGCCTTCGAGCACCCGACCCTGCCGCCTGGCTGCGTCGGCCTGCCCCCGGGCTGGACAGAGGAGCAGCGCGTGAGCAAACGCGGCCGCCCCTACTCGGTCTTTCTCAAGCCAGGCACGGAGCCGCCGCACTACGACTCGATGAGCCGCCCGGGCGCGTGGCGCCTCCACCTCGGCTTGCGCAGCAAGCGCGTCGCCGGCAATGCCGACGAGTGCGCCGCTTGCGGCGACGGCGGCTTGCTGGTCCAGTGCGACCGCTGCCCGCGCTGCTTCCACCTAGACTGTCTCGACCCGCCCCTGACTCAGCAGCAGGTCGACGGCATGGAGGGCTGGCTCTGCCCGCGATGCGTGCCATAGCGGGCGAACGCGCCACATCTTATGAACACATTACACGGCTCTGGGCCCCGCACCAAGCTAAGGTAAGGGGCACGGTAAACTTCTCCACACACACCAGGTGGTGGGGCAAGACCCTCCCCTCTCAAGCTGCAATGGCCATGAGTGAAGGGGCGCCTATGACGCTCACAAGGAGTCACCAGGCGCGGAGCGCGCCGCGCGCGGAGGCGGCCGGCCGCATAGTAGTGAATAGCGTACACAACGCGATCTGTGATGAGTTAGTGGGACGACTAGAGCCGTAAGGTACCGTACGGCTCTAAAGCCGTGTAGAGTGGGAGCGGGGACTGGGAGGGTATTGCCGAATATCCGGTATTGAATATGTCGACGTGATTGGAAAGGCGTGTGATTGACGCCGTGCATGTTTGGTCGACGCGGTCGTGGCTGTGGCTGCACGCCCAGCGCATCCATCACACAGTGTGAGATCTGAGAATCACAGTCCCGAGCGCTGCGGAGCTCGCGGCGGCGGATGTGAGATCGCGACCTGAGCTCGGGCTCGCCACGGCGTCGGAGCGAGGACGCCGCCGTCGCCTCAGCCTAGACCCCCTTGCGTGACTCTACGTGTCAGTACGTCCTTAATTTTTTATTTCGGCCTCCTGGTCGGCCCCGGCGTATACGTACTTTTACGGGAACCTAATTTCATCGAAAATTAGCCGAAAAATGCTGACCCCGCTCCGCCGCCAACGCCGCCAAGACGAGCAAACCGCCCAGCACGGTCGAGGCATGGCTGCCGGGCGGAAGCACGCCGTGCCACTGCGGCCGGCGCGGCTTCTGCTCGGTGCCGCGCTGCTCCACTCTGCGCGGTCAGAGGACCTCTTCCGAGCGTGCCCTACCGAACACGTGAAATAAAGTGGAAGCTGCCATCTCGTGGTCGACCACGAGCCGTGAATCCTTCCGATGGCTTCCAGGTATACGCCCCCCCCCCCCCCCTGCGCCACTTTCCAGCGCCGCCGCGGACACCATCCATCGATCGGGAGGGAGATAGATGAATGATGGAGAGGGGGGCGGGAACCGCTCGATCTACCCTCTGGAATGTGAGGCGAGACACACGACCAGTGAGTGAGGCTGAGTGAGTGAGGGCAAAGGACGCGCCAGGACGCGCCTATGCTCAGCCTGCTCACGTGGACCCAGGATGAAAGCTTAACGACGAGATTCCAGTCCTCGACGCTCGATAACTAATTCCGACGGACGAGGCCTGGGCGATGCGCATGGCCAGCGCCAGGACGTCATTGCGTAGCTCCCGGTCGGCTTCGACGCCCGACGACGACGCTCGTGCAAGCAAGCCTGTGAGGGCATTGACCACCTGCGGTGCCACCAGCCGCGTAGCCGCCTCTGCTGCCTCGGCGTCCAGCGTATTTGAAAGCACCTCCGTCGCCAGCGGGAGGAATGGCGTGCCGAGTGGTTCGCTCAGTGTGGCGATGAGCTCTGGCCAGTGACTGCTCCGCAAGAGTTGACTGGCAGTCGGGTGGTGTTGCGAGACGCCGCGGAGGGCGCGGAGCGCCAGCGTCCTGAGCGCAGAATCGAAGGATGCGTGCAGGACCGCCAACAGGTTGTCGGCCGCCTGGGTCTTGGCAATGAGCTGCTGTGCCCGGCCCGCTGAAAGCATGTCGCGGCGCCCTTGCCACGCGGCAGGCTGCCTGGCGGGCTGACGAAGCGGCGAGTGGGGCCCGAATCGAGGGAGAGGCGAGGCTGGGCCGGAGCCACTCAACAGGCTCAGCAACGGCGAGGGCGGGTTGGAGTCGCCTGGCAAGGCGGTCAGGTGCACCAGCAAGTCGGCTGCAGCCATCGCAATGGCTGGTACGGCAGAGAGGAGCAGCGCCACAGCACTGTTCAGGAGAGCGGTTGCCTCCGCCTCGAACGTCACGTCGTCAGTCGCCCTCGTTGCATGCAGTGGCCTCGAGAGCGTGCGAAGTAGGTCTCGGACGGGGGCCTCGTACTCGGTACGCCCCGCGTGGAGAAGTGTCGATGCCCCCGTGAGGAGCACATTCACGGAGCCAGCCTCCGCCCAGCTGAAGCCGTGGACGCACTGACGGCACGCGGTTGTCACAGCACTCACTACTCGCTCGTGCTGGTCTTGGGTGTGCCTCCCCGTCATTAGGTCGGCAGCAGCCTCGAGCTCGGTGGGCCGCCCAGGAGAGATTGCCCCAGGCGAGCGTGGCGGCGGCGGAAACTTCGAGGGCGCCGGCCGAGGTTCCGACCGGCCAGGGCTGCCGGCATAAGAGCGGAGGTCCAGCGACTCGTGTGCAACCGGCGCGAGGAAGCGTGGGTTCCGAGGAGGGACCTGGACAGTGAGGGCCCGCATATACACATGGGCGAAACGAAGTGACGCGAAACGACGGCGCGGTGCCGGCTGCGATGAGCGAGACCGCGCTTGCTCGGCTGCGAGCGGCTCGAGCAATGTCACCGGCGTCGCCGCGGAGGGCTGGTTCACCCTCTCCCGTAAAAAGACAGTGGTCGCCAGAGATGACGGACAGTGGCTCGCCTCGGTCGCCCTCAAGGCACTCGACGGAGAGCGTGCCTCGCCCTCGGTCGCCCTCAAAGCATGCTCAGGATTCATACGAGAAGGCGCACGCGGCAGTCGAGCGGCAGCTGCTTGACGAGGCGCGGCTTCAACTCGAGAGGGCCCGACAGCTCTCGCCGAGACGTCCACGCCGCAGTCAGACAGCGTGGAGCGGCAGTGGGACAGGCTTCCCTCGGTCGTCCGCCACTGGCCGAGGCTCCCTCATGGAGCGGCGGCGAAAGGCCTGGGCCAAGGCGCGGGTCGATGAGGTGCTCGATGAGAGGGGCCGCAACTTGCCGTGGCACGAGGTTCTTGTTCGTTGGGCTGGTCAGCCTCTCGATGCGAAACCTGTTTGGGAGCTCATCCAGACCGTCCGCGAGGCGGGCTCCTTTGCCGAGAAGCTCGACGAGCACAGGGCGAGGCACATTGTCCTGATGTGAGAGGGCGTTCTTCGCGCCTGGTGCATTGCTCATCTTGTTTCTCTTTCTCTCCGGCTCTTCCACTTTTCCGCGGCGACCCACGCGCGCGAAGCAACGGAGCTGGATACAACATAAAAGGTGGTGGTGTGGTGGTGGTGGGGGGGGGGGGGGGGGGGGCCAATGGTACCCCTTTAAGGCCCCCGTTTACAAAGGCGAACCCCAATTTTTTCCCCCCCCTCCCAAAAACGCAAAGCCCCGTTTTTTTGTTATAGCTTATACCAAAAAGAGGGCTACACACGGCCCTCTACGCTGGGGCGCCGGCGCCCTACTGGGCAACGCCTCGTTTTGCGCACGAGGGCTCTTACTAATAAATAAAAAAGAAAAGGCTCGCCGCGGGGGCAGCCCTACACGTGCTACACGCTCTACGACACATGTGACGATCTCCTTGTAGTGGTGTCCGTTTTATTTACTTACTACACACGTGCTCCAAATGAGGGGAGCGCGCACCCTCGGAGCTAGCGCGGCTGTGGGCGCGCCTCACAAAACGTGCAACGTGTGGATGCGACTACTCGGGTAACTGAGACGGAGGCTCGGGCCGGCGGAGCGGTCGCTGGCAGCTCACGGTCCTCGCCACTCCTGCGCCTCGGTGGAGCCGAAGAGCTCCTTCTTGAGCCGGATCGTCTCCTGTTCACAGCTGCGGGTGTGAAGAGACGCTGTTCACAGTAGGACTCGGTCTTGAGCCGGATCGTCTCCTGGATCACGCGGCACTCGAGGTCGGTCAGCTCCGGGTGGAACAGGTCGATGTTGAGGATGATGCGGTCCTGCGAGGTCGGGTTGAAGGTCTCGTGCTTGAAGGACGGGTCAAACACCATCACCTCCCCCTCGCGCCAGTGGTACTTTTCGCCCGCAACCGAGATGTAGGGCGTCTCGCCGCCCTCCTCCCCCGTCGGGCAAACCATCCCGACATGGCAGGCGACCACCCAGCTGCACGGGTCGACGTGGCGCGGCAGCCCCGTCCCCGGACTCTGCCTCTGGAACGCGACAGTCTCTCCCGCGAGGCGAAGCTTGCCCAGCGCGCCCATCGTCTGCGGACACTCCTCCGCCGGAAAGGACGCCTGCCGCTCGCCGCGGTAGTAGATTGGCATCGTCCTCCACCCGAGCGGCTTGCCGATGTCCTCAAACTCCGCCTCGCGCGCCAGAAGACCGACCAGCTCCTCTCGGATCGCCGGCGCCGCGCGCCTGCTCTCGTGCCCTCTCGGGTCCTCTCGGGTCCTCTCGGGTGCTCTTGGGTCCTCTCGGGTCCTCTCGGGTGCTCTCGGGTCCTCCCGGGTGCTCTCGGGTCCTCTCGGGTCCTCTCTTTCCTTTTTCTCGGGTACTCTCCGGTACTATCTCGGGCAATCTCGGGTCCTCTCGGGTAATCTCGGGTAATCTCGGGTCGCCGGCGCTGCGCGCCGGATCGCGTCGAACGGCGCAGCGCTCGCGTCGAGAAACGGCGTGGCCGACAGCCCAGGAAAGTAGCCTGCGCGAGGGGGGGGAGAGGGCCGCGCGCTTTCTCGTGTCTGCAGCCCAGAGGGAGGGCCGCGCACGACAGGAGCGACCGCCGCTGCAGGCGCACGAGAGCTGGCGCATCTCACGCGGACTGCGGGTGCATCTAGAGGGAAAAGCCGCCTCCGACCACCTCGTAGTGCGGGTGCTTCCGAAGCTTCTTCGGCATGCCCTGCGCGACATCGCCGCGGTTCACCTTGATGTACTCGCGCACGCGCCGCAGCGCGCGCTTCCCGGCCGAGGCGAATTGCTCCTCGACCGCCTCGCTGGCCTTGTCCCAGAACCACGCCCGCCAGTACGCCTCTTCAGCTGCCTCGCCCGAGAGCGCCGCGGAGCCCATCGAGATTCGGCCGCAGCGAGAAGTGCCGCCGCCGCTGCCATGACAACCTCTGCACCTGTGCAAACGCAGCCGGCGGCGGTCTCGGCGTCTCTTGCGTGCGTGGGACGGAGCCTCGGGTGCGTGTCGCGCAGGCGGCAGAGTGTGTGAGCAACGGCTGTCTCAAGCATCGGGAATATCAGCGGAGAGCCTGAGCTCGGTGGCTGGCGCGAAGCAGCTCGAGGCGGAGAGGAGCAGCATTGTGTGTGTTCGCGTGTGAAAAAAGAAACGCCCGGGCGGCCGGCTCTCAAAAGGTTAAAATCTCAGGGTGGGCGACGGCTAGCGCATCACACCCCTCTCCTTAAAATCCCTGTGTGGTGGCGGCGTGCCGTCCTCCCATCCCTCCCTGCGAATGGTTTCTTGCTGTGCCATTTGTAGCGCCAGTCCGAGCCAGTCTGCTGTGAGAGGGGCTTATATTTTAGAACAACACCGCAAGGGATGCCAGAAGGCCTGAGGGACGTGGCAAGGGCAAAAGGGAGGAGAGAGGGGGGGAAAGGGAGGGAAAGAGAGGCGGGCTCCTGGAGGCGATCGCTTACTATAGATCGAAGCTAGAGGCGGTGGTCTTCATGTGGGTGCCAGCACATGTGGGAATAGCCTTGGACCGCGTCACACCAATCCTCGCTACCCAACGCGGCCAAAGGATATCCAACTCGAGAACCTCGAGAGAGATACGCTCGCCCGTAGTGGCGTTTTTCACGCGCCGTTCACACCGAGCAGGGTTTTGGAAGGACGATCAGGGACACAGGGGAACGGGAGTGGGGAGCGCATCGCGACACGGAGGATTCACCAACACTTGGAGCACTTGGAGTGTACACTTGGAGCACTTGGAGTGCAGTCAGTAACCGCACATCCAGGGCCGGGGAGCTCAGAAGCGCACCCAGCGGGCCGGATGATTGGCATCGGGTTACGGGCAAGAAAGCCCTAGCCCCGGGGGTGCGCGTTCGCAGGGCAAGGGCCTTAAAGTAAACACAGTTCTCCGAGGGTTGGACCCGCGTACCGGGTTTCCCCTTAACTGCAGGACGCCCCCTCTACTCGGAGCTAGTGGACATTACACTGGACACCACGCCCAAACACAGACACTTGCTTAGTCCTCGGCAAAGGCGCTCAAGCAGGCGTCCGAGGTTGCCGTCGGAGAGACGATCTGGCTCGCGTCGCCGGCCGCGGGCACGCTCGTGCAGGCGCGTCTCTACCCCCAGCACCACACACACACCTGCCTCTCCCGATGCGAGCCCCCCCCCCCCTCTCCTGCCAGGCGCCCGTCCTCAAGATAACCAAGAGGTCGTGGCCGACGGGCTGCACAGCCCGCTCACCATGCGCGGCGGCTGGCCGGTCGTCGACGGAGTCGCGACCTCGTACAACAGTCCGGCCGTCGTCGCGCGCAACAAGTACCTCGTCCCGCTCGTCGAGGCGGTCTGCCCCTCCCTCGGCCGCCTCGTCGTGGCGGCCGTGAACCCCAAGCCGATGCACTACATCGATGGCGAGGTGAGCCCTCTCCCACCGTGCCAAGTTGTATCTCACTTGTCCCCACTCCTCCCCCACCCCGTCGCCCACTTTCGCCTCGTCGCTCGACCAAAGGTGGTCGAGCCAATCTCGTCGCTCGAGGTCGCCGCTGCCGTGGCCGTCACGGTCGCCGCCACTCTTGGCGTGCGCAAGATCACGGCGCGCAAGTAATGCGCGAAGCGGCGCTCCAGCTCGGATCGCGCGGCTGACCAAGACTCTCTCTACTAGAGCTCTCGTCCATGCGGCCGCCCTTTGAGTCCTTCATTGGAGAACGACCTAACTAACAGGTTGACGCCTCTAGTCAACGCCGGTAACCGCGGCAACACATGGTATACGCCGCATTTTGCATGGCCGACCGACGCCGAGTGCGACTTAATGTGATCGCGTTTGGTATCATGGAGCTCCGGCTCGGCTGATCTTCTCGAGCCGCGCCTTTTGGCATGCGGGGCGCCGCTCACCCGTGCCATTTGGCCCGCAAGCGTGAAGAACGTATGTGTGGATCACTCACTGAGTCAGTTAGCATGAAGCGTGATACCACGACCTCTCACTCTGTCTGAGTCTGTGCGGGTGAGGGTCTCTTGATTTTGAGAGGCAGCTAGCCCGTGCCGATGGGTGGACGCAAGACAGAAGAAGACGCGGCACTCTTGAGCAGCACACAGACACACCAACTGTGAAACTCAATCGCGCTTCGCGGCAGGGGCAACCGTGCGGCCGTCGACATTACCCATTAGCCGCCGGCACTCCCCTGCGCCCAAATACGAGTGCTCCACACGGCGGCCCGAGCCGCTGCAGCAGAGGTACCTCGCCTCCGCCTGACCCTCAGCCGGGAGCACCCGCGCCTTGACCCACCGCCCGTCGGGCAGCCGCCGCCCGACGAGCGGGTCGGGCTCCTCCTCACGACGCCCCCCCGCCGCGGCGGCGAGGCACTGCAGCAGCGAGCGCCACGGCGCCGGCGAGGGGCGCCGAAGCACGGGCAGGAGGGCGCGGTGGCGGGCGCCGGTGGCCAGCGTGCCGAAGAGCTCTGTCTGCATCTCCTCGAGCGAGCCGCCGCGGAGGAGGACGTGCGATACGGAGGCGCCGCGCCGGTCGGCCGCCTATTCACAGCAGTGGGGGTGTGAAGGGACGCTGTTCACACCACCCTCATCGCGCGCCGGTCGGCCGCCCTCGGGTCGGCGTAGCACGTGTCGGCCGAGACGATCTCGACGCCGGTGTGGGAAGCCGAGAGCACCGCGGCGCAATCGCCGGATGGCTTGTGCCCGACCACCACCTAGAGGGGCCCTGGACGGCTCCTGGAAGGCTCCTAGACAGTTCCTGAAGACGCCACGCCAGGCGACACCTAGAGGGGCCCTGGACGGCTCCTAGAAGGCTCCAAGCAGCAGCAGAAGTGGACTGAGACCGACCACGCCCGGCGGATGCCTCCCCGGAGCAGCCACGCAGCGACGCCTATTCACAGCAGTGGGGGTGTGAAGAGACGCCGTTCACACCTCCCTCATCCCCGGATCAGCCACGCAGCGACGCCCGCGTCGAGCGGGTCGGAGGCCACGGCGGCGAAGGCGGAGGGGTCGGCACGCGCCTAGAAGGTTCCGAGAAGGTTCCTAGAAGGCTCCGAGAAGGCGCCGAGAAGGCTCCGAGAGGGTTCTCGGTGTCGACTCGCGACTCGCGCCTCTGCGTCTGCGAGCGCCGCCTCGCGCACGCGCGCCGCGCTCTCAGTAGTGATGCACCTGAATATGGATTGGTGGAAGTGATTGAGTACGCCAACCTCATGGCGGGGGTGCGGTGCGAGTGTGCAGACTCCGCGCGCCGTGCGAGTACGAGGGGCGAGTACAGCGAGTGCCGCTGAATACGGCCGAATGCAGCAGGCGCGCTGAGCCAGTGCGATCATGCGTGGCGAGAACCGATGCAGCGATGGACATTTCGCCGCAAGCGCTCGCGGGGCCGTGAGTGGGGGTCCCCGCTGCCTGCCTGCCCCTCTGGCTATACTTTTGTCCGTGGTGATGCCTCTCCCTGAGGACGCACCACACCGCCTCGTGTGCAATGCCCCCGTGTGTGCTCCGCGAGTGCGTATGCCCTGTCGTCCATGCTAGGGACGTGTGTGTACCACTGACTGACTGACTGCAACCGGCGCGTCCTCTCGGGCGCTGCTTTGGAAGACTAGAGGACGCGTCTCGCTTCTAGGCTGCGCGCACCCCCCGTCTAGGAACCGTCTAGGAACCGTCTAGGAACCGTCTAGGAACCGTCTAGGAACCGTCTAGGAACCTTCTAGGAGCCTTCTAGGAGCCTTCTAGGAGCCTTCTAGGAACCTTCTAGGAACCTTCTAGGAACCGTCTAGGAACCGTCTAGGAACCGTCTAGGAACCGTCTAGGAGCCTTCTAGGAACCTTCTAGGAGCCTTCTAGGCTGCGCGCACCCCCCGTCCGCGTACGAGTTCGAGACGATGGACCTAGCCCCACATCGCAGAAGGTTCGTGGAAGGTTCGTGGACGGCTCCTGGAAGGGTCTATGCGCTTGATGGCGGCGGGGCCTGCCCCACATCGCGTCGCGGTTCTGCAGCGCCAGCAGCACCTCGCCGCCGCGCGTCGCTCGCTCCGCGTCCCACTCGGGCCTGGCGGGCGTGGTATTCACAGCAGTGGGGGTGTGAAGAGACGCTGTTCACACCCCCCTCAGTGCGTCCCACTCGGGCCTGGCGGCGTGGTCGGCCAGCCCGCGCTCGAGAAGGCCTGCGGGCGCACGCCGATAGAGGTGGAGAGGTGGGGAGAGGTGGGGAGGGGTGGGGAGGGGTGGGGAGGGGTGGGGAGGGGTGGGGAGGTGTGGGGAGTAGTGTGGAGGAGTGCGGAGGGGCGGGGAGGTGTGGGGCGTCGAGGGGAGGGTTGCCTAGGGGTGGTGAGGCGA